TAATTTTGTCGGCAACAATGTTACTTAGTACAACGTCAATATCATGCATGGACTCGTAGATCTTGAATCATCACTTGTTTTCATAAATTGCACTACAATTTGTTTAAATCTTGTCTAACATTAAATGACCATCCCCACAAATTTGTATCCATAGAAAGAACATAGAAACATTAAATGCTTTCATTATCGTTGCTGGCAATTTCAACATCAGTAGTAGTACTAATAATTTAGAAGTAATGTATATAGTCCCAATTAAGGGCAAATTCCCCCATCCTACTCCTTCAACTAAATAATTAAAGGAATATTCGGAAGAAAATAATACTTATACATTAAATTTAAGAACAACATTTATTTCAAAACAACTATTTTTTTCATTAAAATAAAATATGAAAATAGTAAATCAGTGGGATACCAGTATACCAGTATGATACACGTATTTATTTTTAAAATATAATTAAAATAAAATAAAAATTTTATAAAAAAATAATAAATTAATACCTATAATTATTTAAATATTTAAAAATATTTAAATCAATAATATATATATATATATATATATATATATATATATATATATATATATATATATATATATATATATATATATATATATATATATATATATATATATATATATATATATATATATATATATATATATATATATATATATATATATATATATATATATATATATATATTTATATAAATATTATTTTTATTTTAAAATTGTTGACAAAAATATTTAAACCAATAATAAAGTTGTTCTATTATTATTCAATATTTTGATCAATAATTTCATATTTTCGTTAATATTCAATAGTTTGATTAATAACTTCATGTTTTCATTAATATTTAATATTTTAATTAGTAACTTCATGTTTCCATTAATATTCAATAGTTCGATCAATAACTTCATGTTTTCGTTAATCTTCAATATTTTGATCAGTAACTTTATGTTGTCGTTAATATTCAATATATAATAAAGCAAACTTCATTTGCTTGTTGGTTGTATCCAACGTGTTGCTGCACAAAGTAGAAATGAAAGACAAAAATAATATATTTAATGACAACTACAAAATAAGGAATAATGAATTACATTGACCTACCTACTAATAGCCTATTTATACACAAAATTATGGTATAATAAAATTACTAAAATATCCTCTAACAAAGATATAAAAAGATATTCATAGATATTCCTAAAATATAAATTATTTCCAACATCATCCCTTAATTTATATTTACAAAACTGACAACACCAATTTCATCCCTCAAATGAAGAAATTGATCAGTCTTGATAGCCTTTGTTAGAACATCTGACAGTTGCTTCTGGATGCTAAAGTGCACAACTTCTAATATTCCACTCTGAACCTGATTCCTCAGAAAGTGACACTTGGTCTCAATGTGCTTGCTTCTCCCATGCAGCACTAGGTTCTTAGCAAGATTGATTGTAGACTTGTTATCAATCATTAGCTTCAGAGATTTGTCTACATCAATCTTCAGATCTTACAGTAAGAGCTTATGTAGTCAGAGCTCCTGCAATATATTCAGCTTCATAGGTTGACAGTGCAACAACATGATGCTTCTTAGAACACCAAGAAATAGGACCTCCCAGAAATTTGAATAAGTACCCTAAAGTGCTTCTTCTGTCAACTCTATCTTCATACCAATCAGAGTCTGAGTAACTCAGAAGTTCTGATTCAATCTTTCTTTCAGAAGGAAATAACACTCGATACTTCAGAGTTCCCTTCACATACCTCAGAATCCTGACAGCAGCTTGGTAATGAGACCACTTTGGTTTACTCATAAATCTGCTAATTATTTTAACTGCATAGAAAATATCAGGTATGGTATTACACAAATACCTCAGAGAATCAACCATCTATTTGAAGGTTGTAGTATCCATATCCTCTCCATCAGAATCAGAGTCCAACTTCTGATTTGTATCAGCAGGTGTGATAGCAACTTTGTAATTCTCTAGCTCAAATCTCTTCAGAAGCTCAAGTTCATACTTCACCTAATGCAAAACGATTCCTTTCTTAGAGTACATAAACTCCACCCCTAGAAAGAAACTCATTTTCCCAAGATCTATCATCTCAAACTCATTCATCAGAACCTTCTTAAACTCAGTTATCTCTTGTTCAGAACTTCCTGTGAGCAATATGTCATCAACATACAAACATACCAGAATCATATTACCTTCTGAAGTATGCTGAACATAAACACCATACTCCATCTCACACTTATGAAACCCTTGTCTCTTGAAAAATGAATCAATCTTCAGATTTCAAGCTCTGGGCGCTTGCTTCAATCCATACAAGGCTTTGTGTAGTTTTAACACCATCCCTTCTTGATTCTTTTTCTCAAATCTAGGAGGTTGTGACACGTATACCTGTTCTTGTAATGAACAATTCAGAAATACATATTTTACATCTAAATGCATCAGAGGCTAATTCTTGTTAGCAACTATTGCAATCACTAGTCTGATTGTTTCATGTCTCGCTACAGATGCAAACACTTTAGAGTAATTCAGCTTAGGCTTTTGTAGAAAGCCTCTTGCTACTAATCTTTCTTTGTGTTTGCTAATTGATCCATCTGGATTTAGCTTCTGCTTGAAAATCCATCTGACGCTGATGGCTTTCTTGTCTTTTAGAAGTTCTGTCAGCTTCCAAGTCTTGTTTCTCTCTATAACATCAAGTTCTTCTTTCATGGCCTGCAACTAGACTTGCTTCTTAAGAGCCTCTTCCGTACTCACGGGTTCAAAGTCTACTAACATTGAACACTGAATAACTTCTCCTTTGGAGTCTACTTCAGTGTCTTGTAACATGTCAAACTTTGCAAATCTTCTTGGGATGCTTCTGACTCTTTGTTGCCTCTGAACTTGAACTTCAGAACCTCGGACACCAGAGCTTTCCCCTTCATAATCTCTTTCTTCATAAATTAGACTTTCTTCAGAACCTTGACTGTCTTCAGAGTCTTGAAAACTCGCAGAGTCTGAATTACCATCGGAGTCAGAATCATCTTCACCGTCAAAGGCTGAATTTTATTTAGAAGCTCATCCTTCATAAGGTACATCCTTAGAGTCATAATTTCCACTAGAAACATGGTCATCTTTAGAAGCTTGTACTCCAAAACATAAGTCTTCAGAGTTTTCCCTTCTAGAAGCATGATCACCACCAGATTTTGGATCAACATCAAAATTTGGATCAGAATTAGATTCACCATCTGACTCACCTTCGGAGTTTCCAGAGTCATCACCTTCTGACTCATCTTCAGAATCTTCAGCATCATCTTCTGATTCTGACTCATATTCAAACACTCCTTCAGAGTCAGAATATTCAGATTCCTCTTCTTCCCCTTCAGAATCAGAAAATGACAATTTCACCAGTTTCTCATCAGATTCATAAGCCATAAAAAACACATGTTTATCATCAGACTCTCCTCTGGCTATATTTGCTTCTTCTGACTTCCTTTCTTTGTTCAACCAACAATCTATCGCATAGTGACCAAAGTTCTTGCAATAATAACACTGAACATTCTTCTTGTCAGACTTCTCCTTTCCCTTCTGGATATTCTTCTTCCTATCAGAGTTTAAAACTTCTGACCTTTGACCACCATTAGTTTTCTTCCTGGCTTCTGACCAAGTCTGCTTCTGATACTTCTTACCAAAAGTTACTTTCAGAGTCTGTTACTCTACTTTCCTCTCAAAAGTTCTCTCAGTCATACGTAACTCATGCGCCTCTAGACTACTTTGCAGCTTTTCAACTCTCATAGTGCTCAGATCTTTGGAATGTTCAATTGCTATCACAATGTAATCAAACTGGAAAGTTAAAGATCTCAATATCTTCTTAATGATTACTTGTTCAGAAATATTTTCTCCACAAACTTTCATCTCATTAGTGATCAGAATCACTCTAAATATGTACTCAGAAACCTTAGATAAATTTTCTTATATTATAAATTAATAAGCATTTTCCTAGAAAGACATGCGAAGACAGCTAGATATATAAACCATGTTTTAAAATTAGCATGTTACACATCCAAATATACCATTTTTACTCTACAGATTTTGAGCATGCTAATATTTTTCTGTATATTTTTCGATTTAGTTCTTAGCAAATAACTAAACTTTTATTATAATTCACTATTGGTTGATTTTCTTATTAACTTTACCATGGATATAGTCGTACAAACTAAACCGAGAAGCACAAGGGGCCGGATAGCTGTCCTCGTAATGGAGGACGATGCACACGCGTAAGGAAATAGCTGATAGACTAAAAAAAAACTATTTACTCTATTTATGTATACATAAAAATAAAAAATAAAAATTATGTGTAGATTATATTTGGAAAGTAGCTCCACGAGATAGCTAGTGTTGACTAGAAGTAGTATAATTTCAAAGCTATCACTTTCCGCTAACACCAAGTAGACATAGCAATGACCTACACAATAAGTGCACTGTTTCAGTTCATAGCCTCCAATCTTTCCTATTCAAAATCAATCAAGATCACCAAACAATCGCTTCACATCTATCATATAAGAACAATCTACAATATAAGAATCTTAATGGTTTTAGAAATTAGTTTTTTACTCTTTCTTTTTAATCTATCACTTAATCAAAATGAGGATATTTTATATTTTAAAAAAACTTTTTTTTTAATTAATAATGTCACTTAGTCCTATTTTAATTATAAAATTATTGTTTTTTTTCTTTAATCATTAGATTAAAATGAATTGATGATGCCACTTGATCAAATTTAAATGATATTTTCTTATTTCCTCTTCTTTTAATGTATACGTTAATTTAAATTTCAAACAACATAAGAATCTTCTCTATCTCGTCATTTTTTTCTTTGTCTCTTTCTCTCTCTGACGTTTTCTTCCACTTCTTCTTTCTTTTCTTCTCCCTCTCTGCTCTTTCTTCTTTCTTTTCTCTATTTCTTTTCTTTATTTTAGAATTAAAATAATTAAAACATTCATTGAAACGAAAGGCTACGATGGTGCGAATAGGGGAGAGGAGGATGAAAGACTATTTTGCTGGAGGTGTCGAATTCGTAAGGAACGTGTGGTGGTCGACCGCTATTTATGTGATTTGAATGTGATGTTTTATACCTTCACTCCAAGTTGCTTCTGATATGTTATGTTCTTCCTCTTCAACCTTTTTTTTTCTAGATCTAACACTTTCATGACTTAGAGTTTGCAGATTCAACACTTCTCCATTGACCTTATGTATTTCTTGACTGTTGTTTTCATTTTTACCTTAATATGACGTATTTTATTTTTGCTCTAGGATGATTTGAGACTTTATCAGCCACATTTGATTATTTATGTTCCTTTAGTTTTTGAAAATTTGTACAGGTAACCCTATTTTCCATGAACTGTATGAATGCCACTTCTATATAATAATATTTATTATTGTTTCCGGTTCTTATGTACAGAATGCAATAAGTGGTGGTGGCGGTTCACCTGTTATTGCTGCTCGGTGACTTGGTTAGTGATTATTCTGTGACTTAAAATTTTCATAATTTGATAGTTCAGTTTCAAAATACTTTCCTTAAACTCATACAAAAAAATTTGACTAAAAAGTTTCCTGATACATGGAAAGGTTTCTCAATTTTGGCTTTCAAAGATGTCTGGGCTTTCAAATATTTGAGCAGGAGTGCCATGTGTTTTATGCAGCAACAAAGGAGCTATTGCAGTTAGGCAGCCTTATATTAGGGTTGTTGGAATAAAAGATGCAAATGAAGCCAAGTCTCGAGGTCCCACTATGTTTATGACGAAAGAAGTTAGTGTTGACCAACTATAAGTTGACTACTTAAGTGCTTTATACCCGTTAGTTTTATCCTTTAATATCATATTCACTACTACGGAAAAGACATCTAACAACGGTTGGGAAGGATATATAACCACGTGGGACCAGACGTTGTTATGTAACGTGTGGTTGTATATGCGGTACTTACAATCACGATCCAGTGACCGTCGTAGTAAACTGGAAATCCCGCGCCTTATAACAACAGTTTTTTCTATTAACTATTGTGATATTACATATGAATAAATGTCAAACTTTCATACCATAATCAACACTAAACCAATTTTGAATTGATATCAAAACTTGTATTACAAGTACACAATTCCATTAAGTACATCAAATTTGAACAGTTCGATGTATGCAATCTTCTCAACTTCCAAGAGAAAAGATAGAGTTTAGAATTAAAGAAATAATGATGAGTTTGGGCTTTAAACTTCCAAGAGAAGAAGATGAAGAATCAGAAGGAGAAATATAAAAGCAGAAGAACCAAAACACAAAAGCAACTACATCCAAAGGAATCAACATGTGTTATCGTGCTCAAGCTACCAACAATATTGAGAATCAAAATATTGTTGTAGAGAGTGTTGTGGTGCAAAACCAGCCTCATAATCAAGACGTGGTTGTATATGGTGTTTTGATGTAAAACCATCCTCAGATTCAAGTTGTTGCTGTAGAGGGTGTTGTGTTTAGCCTAATGAGAGCTCTAAGGGTGGGGAGAAGAAGAAGAAGAAGAAGAAGAAGAAGAAGAAGAATAAAAAGAAGAAGAAAAAGAACAAGGTTGAAAAGGAAAATGATGATTTTTTTTAATTTTGATGATGATGATGAGGAGGATGACTATGATTGGTCTAACTTTATCTCAACGAGAGGATTTAGATTTGATTATGGATTTTGATCATGTAATGAAGTTTTAATCTGCTTAACTTTCTTAAGGTTATCAACTTAAACATTCAACTTAACCTATCAACTTAAACTACAAAATATATAAAATACATTATTGTAACTGAAAATTATTGCGATAAACTTACTCGTAAGAAACCGTTTGATAGTTGCATATTCCTGCCAATTTCACTGCATCTTCAACTATTACATTTTATAACAAAGCAAATATTAAACATAAAGGATACAAGAAAACATAACTTTTTCAAATTTCAAAAGCTAATTCAACTATTACATTTTATAACAAAGTAAATACTAAACATAAAGGAGATAAGAAAACATAACATCTTCAAATTTCCAGAAAATCTCTCTGACTTCAGTTTGTTCTTCAAATTCTTGTTCTTCTTTTTGAATTTGTATACATAACCTTCAAATATCCAACATATTCCAACTCTGGCATCATACTACTCTCATATTCCAATTTTTGTTCATCATCCCATATGAATAAATTACATGTTTTACCACTCCACCAATTTGGACATCTCCAAAAAATCCTTCCTTTAGTTTGACCCCTCTTGCATTGGTACAAAACCATACGACTGTCACAACCATAAAAATTTCCAGATCAAGATTGTACACCTTTGCATGAGTTACTCTTCAAATGCGACATTGAGACAAAACTGGACAACAACAATGAGTGTGGTTTTAGGGTTGTTTTCTTCTTCCCGAAAATGTCGACGACATTGGTGTTAGGGTTGTTTCTTTTATCAATGAAAGAATAGGTACTTAGTGTTTAATTATATAAAGTATCGCCAGTGTGTAACAATGGTTGTACAAAAGAGCCGTAGTGATATCCCTATTATTTTTTAATTATATATAAATATAATTGAAAAGGCGTGCATTAACGTAAAAAGGATAAACTATTTGAGAGAGCTGAGGATCGAACATAGGAAAGATGGACTGTATCACCATGATTATGGATGTTGGTTTTTGAGTGCGCCTAAGACGAGACTGAATAAAGTGGATTGTAGATTTTTATTCTTTTATGTGATGATATTCTTATTTTCTAGCTTGTGTATGAGTATGAAAGTAGTAAATGGAGAAAAATAAATAACACTGGATATATCTTGGTTCCCCTGACAGTCCGAGAGTACTCTAGTCCCCTTTCAACACGAAATAGATTTCACTATAATTAGAATTATTGTACAGCTTATCCACGCCAAGTGTGATGTTTACTATCTAACCTATAAGAAGATCAAAGGCTCTTTAAACCTTTAAGATCTAAACACTAAGTGCAAGAAGAACAAATCTCTTCAACGCACACACTTGTTTCCAATAATCTTGAAAACAAGGTAACCAATACAAATTAAAGTGAGAACAATTCTCCATTAATACTCTCTTGCTTCCAATAATCTTAGACAACAAGGTTAAACCACAATCACTTTGGAAAAATGATTAGAAAAAAATTCTTGAAGTAGATATGAAAGTTTATAATCAATTTCAATACCGAGTATTAATCTCTTCTCTTTCAAGACAACAATTCAATGAATATATTACAAAAGTGCTCAATGCATATGATGAAACTTTTATAATGATGTATTTGAAAATGTAAGAGTAAAAGTTTCATGCAATATCGTAATATTAATCAATGCAATTGTTTGAAAAAGAGATACAAAACATTGTATTGTATGTTGTGATTGTTGTTGTTGATGTCTTAATTTGCATCAAAATTAAAAATGAAATTTATACATGTAATGCACCCTTTAAAAAGGGTCTAAATGCATAGAAGAGTGCAATGGTTCATGGACAAGAGAAGAAAACAAACAACATTCATAACAGAAAATTTTCTTCAAAAAAGTTTATGCAGTAACCAGTTACGAGCCTGCAGTAACCGGTTACTCAGTTCAAGTAACATTCAAAAAATTCAAAAACACGAAGTTGTAACCAGTTATCAAAATGCAGTAATCGGTTATCACTAAACCAAAAACATTTTCCAGAGCTACTACCAAGCCTATAACCAGTTATCCTTAATATGATACAGTAGCAGAACCGACTGTTATACTGGTTTGCATTTTGTATTCGCAAATGTGCGATGAGCAAAAGTTGCTACCGACTTTTCTTTTTTCCAACAAAGGAAAGGGTGAAAAGAACAGAAGAAGAAATTTTTTAGAGGTTTTCTGAGTAAGGGGGTAGATTATGGAAAGGGAAGGTGTTAGCACCCTTTCCATCCGTGATTTTCCACGAGCTCTTAAGTACTTGCTCATTTTGAAAACTGTTTGTGTTTGTGTGTTTTGAAAATTGTTTTAAAAATGCCTTAGTGCGGTGATTTGCTTTATGATAACCCTTGTATCAGTTCTCAATAGTGTGATAAAGCATTTTGAAAACTTTGTTTGAAAAGTGTTTGAATGTGTATTGTGTAAAAATAATTGTTTGAGCAAGTACCTAACAATTATCTACCTATTCGAAAAAAGTTTGTTCTTTTCCTCCTGTCCTTTAGGCAGTGTTAACCTACTATTAGTGAGTAGATAGCCCTAGTCATTGGATGTTTGAGGGACTATCAAAAGGGACGTACGTTCACTAAAGGCAACTGGGCAAAAAATCTTAGTAACTGTCCTAAAGCCCTAATATCACTTTTTTAACTGATACAACAGTCGATAGGGTCATCGAGGGACTAATGATCTCTTAGACTCAAGGACAACCACTAAGGATTCTCACGTTTCGAGAATTATGACCGTATTCGAAGGCAACCAAAGTGGGAGATACCCTAGGGGTGAGCATGTGCAAGTGTGCTGGATTCTGTTCATTTATCTTGCGCATTTAGAATTATCTATGTTCAATTAATCGTTATCTTTCATGCAATCCTATTAGCATACATCTAAGCAGTTTATCATGCGGGAAAATAAATTGCAGAAAAAATAAAGTTCCTAACTATTACAAGGCTTTGGTGCAATTACATAATTAACGACTGAAAAGTAAAGTGCAGAAATTATAAACCCTAATTAAACTATTACAAACTGGGCGCAGTTACATCAATAATAAAAAAAGTAATCGAACGGCAAAATAAAAACGCGCGAGAATCAAAACTTGAAAAAAGTTCAAAACGCTAAAAATCTAATTTGCTCATTGAAAATATTTTTGGGATCTTTTATGAAAAATATTTGACATTTAACCTAATCTTCTAATTAATTTTAATTAATGAAAATAAATTGAAACTAATTAAATTAATTAATTGGAGAAATTATTAATAATAAAATAAAATTAATTCTGCAACAAAAAACTAATATTTTTTATATTTTGGAAGAATAAGATTTTTGCAATTAAACCTAGATTCTAATTGATTTTATTTAAAAGAAACAAATCAAAATAATTATATTAATTTACAAAATTAATTTTTAATAAAAAAACCTAAATCCTATTTTCTTTGTGATTTTGCTGATTTTTATGATTAAATGAAAAAAATGGTTTTTTGAAATTATTAAAGAAAACAAAGAAATCAAATAAATAATAATAAAAGGAGAAATTGAGAAATAAGCCTGAGGGGGGTGTGAACCCAAATTAGGGTTGCAATCTGAAACTCTTGTCCAAGGCCCAAAAAGTGTGAGCCCATAGCCAGCGTGTGGATCTGGTGATGCTGCCTCTTGGAGGTCCATGGTGGGGATTGTCAGTTGGGAGCGTTGGATCTGGCGCGATGCAGATCTGATGGCCTGAGTTGATGGTGTAAGGTGTACACATTGACAAGTAGGCATACTGGATCTGGAATAAATGTTAGAAAAAATAATATGCAGGAGGCAGGGGTCGAACCCCTGACCTCCCACAAGCGCGCGCCTTAATTCCCTCCACATTCGTTATATAAAATAAACATAATATCATATATGCAATAAAGGGTCAATATATAAGAAAAACGTGCGCAATTCAAATGGCCCAATCCTAAGATGCCACGCCATCATCTTCTTCAGTGGTTGTCATTTTAGCCCAGAGACTTTTACCTACGGATAAAACTGTTGCTAAAAACATGCATATTTCCAAAATCTCAACCAAGCAATATAAATTTAATATAAATACATGGATCAACTGAGTTTGATCTCGTTAATACAATGATGTGATACGGTGGGAGAACTGAC